ATACGGACAAACCCAGCAACTGGGTTGTATTTAACCCAGCATTTTTTAGAGTGTACTTTTAATATGAAACAAAGGGTAACATTTTATTTCGATAGTCCACTTTAGACATTCTATTAACAGTAAGTAACTTTGCAACTACATGTCAACTAGCAGTTAGTAGAGTATTAGTAGACTGTCTGCTTAATATCTTCTAACACTTTCTTTGTCAACTTATTCTACTAACCCTAAACCTACCCTAACAGTCTACTCTGAGAGTTAGTAGACATGTAGTTGCAAATGAATGAGAATTAGTTGACATGTAGTTACAAAGTTACTTATAGTTAATAGAATGTCTAAAGTGGACTATCGAAATAAAGTGTAACCAAACAAAGTCTCAGATTTCAAATTCTGTCCGTCGTATTGCAATATTCAAACAATAAATGCTGTTTTGGCGCCTGAGTGACAGATCGCTGGAGAACGTAACACACGTGAACTGATCATCTCCTCCACTTTAAAAGCCCAAAACCAGAAAAGAGCACAGAGAACATACACATCATAATCACGACCAAACTAACAATCAAGAGACTAAAAGCTCTTGAGGACATGCAGGTGTCACATAAATCAAAGTTTGCACACATGTGAATAGTTCTTTCGGGCTCACAGTCACAACACCATACTTGGTCTCCTGGATTTCCCTCAGTAACTGACACATATAGCCTGTTAGATGAAGTTGTAGTAGGCTAAAAGAAGAGTGTCAACACTAGTTCCAGTTTAGATGACAGTGCAGTGCAGGTATGATGGTGAAGAAGCTCTTCTCATGTGTAATATGGTTCAGCGGTTCAAAAACTGCATCTGCAATCAATGCTGAGAGGGAATTTGGAGAGCTTAATGCAGCAGCAACAACAACAGCGTGTTTCTGATTCTCATGTGTAGAGTCTCAAACTCTACGTGAGCTCTAAGAAACGTGTTGCCCAGATTACCGAGACTCCTGACGGACACGACGCCGGATTATTACCCCTAGTATTGATAGGTTTGGGGTTAAGTGTGGGGGGTTCTCTGTCCAGCATTTGCTTTGTAGGATTCTAAGATCTCCACTGAAATCTCTTCTTTATTACTTTCTGCACATAACGTATGTAAATGTATGCTTTGTTTTAAGGCAAGACGCTTTCATAACATGTCTTCTTTCAGATTAGTGGGGGGAAAAAAACAGCCAAAACGCACATTTATGTTTATTTTATTAGACTTCATCTATTTGCGTCTGTAGATTTCAGTTACAATGCATATCTTTAACACAAGTGATTGCCCACCAACTAAACAAAATCATCTCAATGGATATATCAGCTGACGACTTTGCCACATTCTTCATTAATGAATATCTGGAATAATAATAAATGATAAAATGCATTTCCTTCAAAGATTCAGCAAAGAATCACTCAGGCATGATTGAAATAAGATAGGAGATGAATATGGGTCATTTTAGACCCATTGGTGTAAAACTGATGTAGAAATACAACAACTGTGTTTGTTTATAAAGTAAGGAAGGGAAAAATAAACAAAATGATTTGTGGAAGTCAAAAACAACATATTTAAAGACTATCTGGAATACTAAATCATAGAAAAACATTTCTTTGAGCGATTCAGCAAAGAAACACTCATCCATAACTGAAATAACATAGGAAATGAGTACGGGTCATTTTAGACCCATGTTGTGCATTAGAAGGGTATAGTGACACAAAAACGATTTTTATTCAAAAAGCAAGAAAAAAAAAAGGATTTGTGATGATCAAAAACAAGTTAATTGATGAATTCATGGAATTCTGAATGATGAAATAAATTTCTTGCAAAGATATAGAAAAAATAAACTCTAGACCCATGTTGTGCATCAAAGGGTTAAGGATCCTGGTTAGGAAACCCAAAGGTTTAAGGTTCAAACATCATTAGATTAAAAAAAAAAAAACATTAATAAATAACAGTTAAGTCATGTTGGAGAAATTGTTCTAATTAGTCACTAACATTTGCATGCATGCTCTGTCAAAAGCTTTTTACGAGATACAATGAATTATTAATTATTTTATTATATTTTATTATTATTTTGAGTCACGCGGTGCTACACTGTAATATGCCATGTGAGTTAATTACCATATATAATATATAGGCCTACTGTAATATGTCATTATGTGAGATGTCATTTTCCTGCACGTGACTGCCTATATCTATTCAAAAACTTCAGTTCTTGTTATTTTAATACAAAATGTATTTGTGTTTAAACGGGTGCATTTTACTTCAAACCATCAGAATCCAGGACTTGTTTAGCCACAAATACGCGCGAGCTCTGGCTGGCCAAATGGCTTACCTGGTTGCCTCGTAACAAGTGCGCTACGCGCTCATACGTGAGCTCTTACGCACTACGTCTCCTGTGACGTAAGGCCGTACATCCCGCACTTGTCAGCCAGCAGGTCAGCCGCCATCAGTCTGACTGGAATAGAGCACAGACTTATGTTTCTATTTGTGACACGGACTCATTTATAGATAAACAGAGCGGAAGAGCGTGATTCGGTGAAATGACGCGCTCCGGTTCGGCTGAGAGACGGCAGGTTTGGAGCAGCGCGTAAATCCGGTAACGTAGTGCAGATTTCAGTGCAGGAATCATTGCAGTGTGTCAGACCGGTTCTTCGTCTTTGCCCTCGGATATAAAGCAGCTTTAAACAGCTCAATAACATTACAAAAAAAAAAATCGTTTAATGTACATTTAAAAGTGGCAAGTTGCTTCTAAGCTACTTTTGTTGTTGTTGTGGTATGACGTCACGCTGGCCATTCCTGCTCACCTGACCAGCAATACACAGCTGAATAACATGACATGGTGTAATTTAGCTGATAAGCTATAGTGGCAGGTTGAGTGTCAGGTACGTTTTGTTTTGACATGACGTCATGGCCCTTGTTGGGTGACGTCACAGAGCTCAGTTCCGGTCGGGACCTCCGCTGGCTCCACAAGGAAGGAGTTATGAGCAGTCTTACTAAGAAGACACGGTTTATTAACAATCCTGGCAATAAACTGTCTTTTGGCATTAGAGACCGAAACGATGCCTTCATCAGCCTCTACGACGAGTCCATCGGGAGAGGGATGTACGCAGACACGGGCAGACACTCTTCGCCACGGGACAGAATGACGCTGAGACTCGGGAACCGTGGCGATCCTGCCTCAGACGTCCTTCCTAGGGGCCATCTGGACCCACGCACAACTCCTGTCACCAGCTACCTCCATACCAGCAATACAGAAGACTGCACAAACCCTGCCTCAGACTACTACCACGGTAAGGATCATCTGTTCGGCATTCGGAAAGCGGCCCGGTCCTGCGCTTCCAGACACCGATTCGAGGTGATCACAGAGCTGGGGCCCGAGGAAGTCAGGTGGTTTTACAAAGAGGACAAAAAGACATGGAAGCCCTTCATGGGACACGACTCTCTCAGGATAGAAATCATGTATCGCAGATTCTGCGAGTTAAACCCGGAAAGGGCTTTGAGCCGTGGCGGAGAGGAGATTCTTAAAGACGATGGGCTTGATGGAGGGGAACCGGCGCTGGATACCAGCAGCAAGGAGAGCATTGACATCACTATTGAGGCCGTGTGTGTCAGAGGAGGACTCTATGAAGTGGATGTGAGGAATAAAGAGTGCTATCCGGTGTACTGGAATCGTAAGTAATGCTCCTTGATGGGTCAAGTCACATTTCTTTATATGTGCCCCTGGACGACAAAACCAGTCATAAGGGTCAGTTTTTTTAAAATTGAGATTTATACATCTTCTGAAAGCTGAATGAATAAGCTTTAGGATACGGCAATTTTTGGCTGAGATACAGCTATTTGAAAATCTGGAATCTGAGGGTGCAAAAAAATCAAAATATTGAGAAAATCGCCTTTAAAGTTGTCCAAATGAAGTTCTTAAACAATGTATTGTTGGCTATTGCTACAAATATACCCCAGCGACTTAAGACTGCTTTTGTGCTGCAGGGTCACATATACCTCTTTACACACTACAGATTGTTTCAAAGCAGCTCGTAAATTCAGTTTCAGCTGTAAAGCAGCTCTACAGGAGAAGAAGCACAATTGACCTATCGGTAAGCCCCTCCCCTCGAACGCAGATGAGCCAATGGCAGTCGAGTATCAGTTGCAAGGGGTTCGGAACTCAGACATCTGTAGGTTTCAGCGCTGTAGAGAAACACTGGAAGATCCGAAGCTTTCATCGGTTTGATGGTGTTTATGCTACAAAAATGGAAAAACGATGTGCCTGTGGTACTTGTAACACTGATTCCAGGTATACTGAGAGGATGGGCGATAGAATTGATTTGATTACATTTCCTAAACCCAAACAAAACAGAGCAAAATGTCCCTAAGCATTCAACCCCAATCCCAATGAAGACAAAAACATTCATTTTCTGGTTGTCATACTCTCATTAAGTTACAGCAAGGTATCTCTGGCTAAAACCAGCTAACGTTAAAGTTAGTGAGTCATGGCTATTGCAAACCTAAATAGCGAACTGTTCTCACGTCATGTACAGTGTAGGGCAAAAACACATAAACGAAGGTCTACATTTCAGTGCCTCTCCATATTAAACTGGTTAAATGTACATTAATTTAATCGTACCCTGCGATACATGAACAGTGTTGATCCTGCATGTTGTCATCCGCGATCGTGACGACCGTAACATGAGCTTACCGATAGGTCAGTTTATTTTTTGTTCTTATCTGATAGTGTCAGTGCAGTTAAATATTTAATATTATACTGATTATTAATTGTCTTTTAAACCCAAGTCCTGACTCAACAAATTACCGAATAAAGCACCCCACAGTTTTTTATTTCTTTACTGAATTGGGTTAGACTCATTTGGCAGGATGTGGTCTGTAATATTGTGCTTAAGTCTTATTGCATTCATTGGCTTTACTGACAAAAGATCCGTTTTAAATTGTGCCGACATCCTAATGACCAAAAATGTGAGATTGAATCTCCACGCCAGGAATATTGTATCCAGTCTCATTACCAGATTCGGTCAGAAGATTTTGTCTGGTATCCAAAATCAGCCGGCAGCGTCTTGTCTGACACCCAAAATCATTTAACAAAAATGTTTTGTCTGAAACCCCAAACTGTAACTGAGAGTCTTTTATCAGCCTGAGATGCAGGAGATGAAGTGATGATAAAAATGAGCCAGGATTATTGAATAATCTTATTATATCTGACCAGCACAGATCCAACAAGTGTTTTAAGCAAAAGCAATAGAAAAACTGCTTCACAACATCACCCTGCTATGTTAAAAGCTTTGAAATGGAGACATTCTCTTATCTCTAACTCGTGAAGACAGATATCTCTTGAAACCATGCAATCTGATTAAACATTAATAAAAAGCAGTACAAGAGCAAGGAAAATAAATAAAATAATAAGAAATGTACTAAAAATTAATAAATGGTTAAATGATACGTAAATGATTATTTAATTTAATTGAGTATTTAAATGATTATAAATTATTAAAAAACACAACACAGCTGTATAGTTGCTTTCTTGAAGCTACACACATGTTGCTCTTGAGAATCCTTAGATCCTTAAAGAGTTATTGAACATTTCTAAGCTTAACGTGCTCATCCTTCCAGGAAAAGTACCTGCCCTGTCCACTGAATTATTCACATTCTTTGGTGTCTGTGACACCTGCAGTTTTGTTCACGTCAGGTGTGAAGTAAGACCTCTTTTTTTTTTCTAAACTTTTTATTTAAACCATTTTTGAAACCATTTTATGCACATAATTAGAATAAATCATACCCATATTTATTCTCCCATCTGGATTAAATATAGTTTTAAAGGGGTCCTATTATGCTTTTTCACTTTTAAAATTTTAGTCAGTGTGTAGTGTGTATGTTTGGGAATAAAAAAGATCTAGAAAGTTACAAATCTCAAAGTCCACTCCAAAGGGAGATATTTTGTTAAAAAAAAATCCCTTTTCAAGAACTACAACGAACGGCTCGTTTGGACTACAGCATTTGTTTTCCGTGCTTTGTGATATCACAAAGCGGCTCATTAGAACCAAAACAAAATCAAGACTTTGTAAAAGAGCATAATAGGACCCCTTTAAACCACTTTTATAACAGATAAAAAAAAAATAATGTGCATTTTTCTTTTTGAAATATGTTATTACACAACAGGGAAGTAGTGTAGTTGACAGTGTGGACAACAGTGATTTAAACTTTCACATGATGAAAAATGCTCTTTTTTTCAGAAGAGATATTCGGTGCATCATCTTAAAGGCAACATGTTTTGTTTTTTGCATAATGATTAACTGTATTAGCATCTCGGGTGAGTGTGATATCACTATAGTGTGTTTAGCAGAAGAATTCAGAGTAAAACTTTTAAATGCATGTACACGGAAACTGATTTGGAGTAGGATTTACTTTGAAACAATTTTCACTCAGAAATTGCTAGAAAATTGTGTAAATAATTCCAAAGAAACGGCAAGTAACACATTGAATTAAATGTAAAATTCTGAAGTATAAAGGATATTTTCTTGTAAAATGTACCCCAGTAATCTTTGTTTAATTGACAGCTTCAAAAAACTATTTTTGCAGTGTAGATACATTTTACCCAATGTAAATATATGTTTCTTATGCTTGTACACATTTTTTGATTGCTGAATGATCCTAGTTCCTACTTCTATTCCGTGTTCTGTACTAATAGTACTTTATTTTGTGTTCTCTGCCCTGTAGAACAGGATCGTATCCCTGTCATGAGAGGCCAGTGGTTCATTGACGGCACATGGATGCCTGTAGAGGAGGATGAGAGCGACCTCATAGAGAAAGAGCACCTGGCGTGCTTCCGAGGACAACAGATACAGGACGCTTTTGAGACTGACACGCTGGCCAAGACTGTGGACAGAAAAGATGGTGAGAGACTCTATTACTAGCACATTATTTGGTTGTTCTAAAGAGGTTCATTGTAAAAAGAGAGCATTCGTCCTCTATGTGAGGCTGTTAGTTAGTTTAGAAGTATTGGGAAATTAATGACGAATCCATCAGTGAAAGGTTTTGTTCCTGACAAGGTCACACCTGCCCTTATTGTCAACACCTGTTGAAAAATGACAGAGCGGAATGCGTGCATGACTGAAATGCTCCTCATACCATTTCTAAAACATCATGATTGCATTTGCATCCCAAAAAATTTTTTTTGTACTTTTCAGCTATCTTTTCTATCCATAAACACACACAAGCCCTTTTTCCACTGGCAGGGTGCTGCTGCTATCTGGAACCACAGAAAATTTGCTCCACTGGAAAAATAGCAGGAACATCTGCTCCACACTGACCCCTAAAACAAGCTGGTCTCAAACCAGGAAGGACTAATATGGGGAGAGAGATCTTTTAAACAATACGTTTTCAAAACAACAATAACTTATTCTGGCAATACTGACACAAATTAACACTGGAAAGCATAAAACTAGATAGATAAAACTATAGTGCGTATGTCACATTGCACAGTGGCAGTTGTTTAATACCAAGTTGTTCGTGTAAAATTAAATATTATTTACAAATATCATATGTCAGTTGATGAGTTTATATTAATTATACATTAAAAACTTCTGTCCGTTGCATTAAAAGCAGCTTGTGATGGCCTGATGCTTAATCAGTTTATTTGAATGTTCTATAATGATATCTATGACATTATCTATAGTGATATATGTGAGACATTCTGCATAAAATTCTGGGTTGAGCATTGACAAGAGGGTAGCACACAGAGAGCACTTATTATTATTATTTTTTTTAATACTTTGAATTAACATTTTTGTAATTTAAATTTGAAAATTGAAGTATAGCAGTGAAGGAAACTAAATAACAGAGTAAAGTTAAATGTGCAACCCAGAAGTGAATATCCATAATGGCAATTCAACACAACAGTTGAAAGATACTGATTTAGGTCTTATTTTTTTATTTACATTTTTAAGGATTTTTTGTTTTATAGGGTAATGGATTATAGACAAAAAGCAAAAATCTCTTAATTTGCCAGTGAGCCAATGTGACTCATCTCACATTGAGATGTTACAATAGGGTCTAAGCAGCTAGGTAAATTTCTCCTTTCTTTTAAACTACACTACAAGTTCACTGTCTTGTAGGCCACTTACTCTTGAGGTGCTAAATGTAGGTCATACAAAATTACATCCAATGTGTATTTAAACATTGAGTTACATGAACGCTGAATGAACATCTTCCACTGGGATCTAACTTTTAATCACAAGTAAAGGTTCATTAGATTAAAATGTAACTTTCTTGTGCAGAAAATCTTGTCTAATCTCCTCTAGTCAGTAATCCAAATCTCGTCATCTGCACTTTTACAGTTTTGTCCTATCAGGATAGCAGATTCTATCGAATAAGCAATTTTGTTGAATAATCGACCTTGGAGTGTCACAGGGTTCTGTCCTGGGACCTAAATTAGTCTTAGTCTTAAATTATTCGGGTGTAGCTTCTTTTGTTTTCAGTCCATTGTAACAGCAGTTTCATGCTGCACATCACACTTTTCATTACACATGACACACATTTTGGTGTGGCTTAGTGTTCAGAAAAATCAATGTGTTTACAATCTTCAAAAAAGTCAAATCTGCCAGTAGCTTACTTATACAGTAATTGACTTTGCATGTTAAACTGAGATGTGAGAACATTTTTATTATATGCTACAATTCTTGTGTTTGAGACATTATAGTGTAAAAATCTCTTTTACAAATGCAGACTTATAAATGTTAAAAAAGGCTTGTTTTAAGGGTCTGCTGTGTTGGGAATGAGTGCTTGGGTTTTGAAAAAGGAGAGAAATGTTCTGCATTGGTTGGTGTGTAAGAAATAAAGGGAGGGAAGGACAATAAACAATACAGCCTCACAGAGGAGTGAATTCTCTCTTTAAAATAGAATCTAAGAATCTAAGTTATTTAGGAATAGGATCCTATTACATGCACATCATTTTCTGATTAAGGTCTGTGTTCTAGTTAAGTCTTTAAACTCCGAAAGGTTTAGATGCTTCAGAGGTGTTGGAATGTTCCTGTGTGCAGGTTTATTATGGAAGTACCAGAGATATTCTCCTTGTCATTTATTACACTGCATATTTAGCAGTTCTCTGCAGTGTTTTTATGTCACACAAGCACAGTGATCTAAAAGTGTAGACTCTAACGGTGCTTTGTCTTAATTTAGTTTTGGCAATGCACAATGCGTACATAATTACAATATGATCAAATTTCATTTAATAAAGCCATATTCTTGTGCTTGTAAACATGGTTAGTAAAAGATCAAAGTAATAAAACAACAGCTCCCTTAAACACTGAATTAACAAAAGACCAGTTATGTTATTTGGATTTGTATGAGTTTGTGATTTACATGGTAGAGTGATTTTGTGTTTTCACTGTCTTTACTATTGAAACATTTATTGGTTAACAAATCGGAAATAAGAAATGTGTCCTGGGTCATATCACATGCGTTCACTTTGAAATCCTTAAAAAAGGCCCTTATAAGCATGTAAGCAGCATGATTTTCATGTGTTACTAACACAGGTCTTGATGTTATTGCCTTTCCTGCTTAAATGTACTGCTGGAATGACACAATTTGATGGCATTACTTATATTTTGAGTTGAATGTTATACAGTACAATGCAGTCTCATAATACTGTGGGTTTTTATTAAAACTAAGATTTTGTGTTAGAGTGATATAGAATAGTGATATTGCCAATAACATGACCACTTACTGTTTCTTGGTTTGTTAGTTCTTTCCCATTTACCCCCATTCTACCTCCCCTTTCTATTCAAATGGAGCGGATATCAGACGAGTGCTAAAAGTCACAAGCGAAAGCGATGTCAAGGTACTACAACCCTCTGTTTTTACTCCTTGTAGATGCTGATTCTCTTTTTCCGCCTTTGTTCATTAGAACCCTGCATTAGCTTCACAAATGTGTTAAAAAATTATTCTTTTTGTTCCACTTTACTTTTTTTCCCTGCTGTTTTTTTTTCTTATTATAGCTATTAGGATACTATATTTAGAATCTGATGTATCCAAAATACCCAAAGCAGTGTTTTGGATACATACATTGTGTCTCATGTTAAAGGAACACTCCACTATTTTTGAAAATAGGCTCATTTTCCAACTCCCCTAGAGTTAAACAGTTGAGTTTTACCGTTTTCTAATCCATTCAGCCGATCTCCGGGTCTGGCGGTAGCACTTTTAGCTGTAGCTTAGCATAGATAATTGAATCTGATTAGACCGTTAGCATCTCGCTCAAAAATGACCAAAGAGTTTCGATATTTTTCCTGTTTAAAACTGGACTCTTCTGTAGTTACAGCGTGTACTAAGACCGACGGAAAATGAAAAGCTGCGATTTTCTAGGCCGATATGGCTAGGAACTATACTCTCATTCCAGCGTAATAATCAAGGAACTTTGCTGCCGTACCATGGGTGCAGCAGACGCAATGATATTACGCAGCATTTCATTTTCCGTCGGTCTTAGTCAAGTCTTAGTCAACTACAGAAGAGTCAAGTTTTAAATAGGAAAAATATCGAAACTCTTTGGTCATTTTTGAGCCAACACCACCAACACCAAGGACACAAATAATCAGTGAGGAACTCATAGCTCAACAATAAACCATGAGAAAACATGCTCAAGTATGTAAACTTGCAGCAGAACTATTTTAAATTTGATTATTTATAATTATTATTATTAGTCTTTTTTTGACAGTTCTGCAGCTGTTCCATTAGCCTCCCTTAAGTGTTTTCTATAGCCTAACGGTTTTCTATGGGGGAGAAAAAGCTTAACGTTGCATTCATGGCTATCTGCTTTACTGATAGTAATGCTATTAATAAGGTTATTAATATTACAATTGTTATTAGTATTAATATAATCTATAAATACTGAATTGGGCCTCCAATGTCACTGTTATAGTACATTAAGCCACATTAAGCATTTTAGAACGTCCCAAAACCATGCCTTAACTATAAGCAAAGCTGACTGGATTTGAACTTGAGTCTAATTTTAAAATAAAACTCTATGTACCGCTCCATTGTGAACGTACGAGCAGTATGAACCACTAACTTACAAGCTGTAAAGTAAACAGGAAGTGTTTGTCCGAACTCAACTGGTTTTGCGAGAGAACGCAAAAAAAAATTTCCACCCTCCCCAATTTTTTTTCCCACCACCATGTCCCTTTAGGGGCTCCGTAGCATTGTATGTGAATGGTGAAAAAACACACTTTTTGCATTTTTTTCCCCAAAATGTGCATGCCTGTAACTCAAGAAATGTTAAAGATATCTTAATATCCTTTTAGAGTCTGGTTCTTAACAAATGTTTATCTTCATTATCTTCATTTATCTTCTATGTGATTCAGTTCCAGAGATACAGTGATCTCATTGTGGCTCCATGAGTAAATTGTTCAGTTGTACACATATTTAAATGTGGGTCACTTTGTATAGAGCTAATACTTTTTTTTTTTTTCATTTTAAAGACAAATGCCTGAGGAACAAATAATGTTGAAACTGGAATCTAAACAATTGCAAAAAATATTATTTTTAGAGAGTTTTCATAAGTAACCACTGAAAATGGGTAAAATTCAACAGTGCTTCATGAGTTACAGGCACATAATGCAAAGCTGTATGGAAAGTGACCCACATTTGGTTTAACAATTTACTCCTGAAACCACATTGAGATCCCCATTTCCAGACCTGAATCATATAGGGCCTTAAAAATGAAAATACCAAAATAAAAGTTTGTTAAGAACTGAATTCTCAAAGGATTTTAAGATATTTGTAATATCTACAGATAGGCAAGAAAACGTTTGGGGAAAAATGCAAGAAGTGCCACCATTGGCATATAATGCAACAATGATTACTAGTCAACAGATTTTACTACTATACCTATCAGTCTCTGACCAAAAAAAATAATGCTGTAAAAAGTTATTTATTTCCTCCCTCTGTAAGTAATGTAATTGTAATTTGTACTAAATAATTAATATAAACATTTGAACAAAAGTATAAGTGTACATTTAAACCATCCATAATGTCTTTTAATGAAGACTTTTAATGAAGTGAACTATCAAACGCAAACTGAGGGATGACATTATTATTATTTTTTTGTTATCAATAGACACTGGAACATTGCAATATATATATATATATATATATATACTGTATATATATATATAATGTGAGTAGAAACTGATATTGATATTCTGTGCATGTTATGAACAGTGATGTGTGTTACTATATAGCCATGTCTTTGAATGTAACGAGTGTGGTCTTCTTTCCTAAATGTCGTCCAGCCATTCACAGTGTGCAGTTGAGCCGCAGTCATGTGGACTGGTACAGTGTGGATGAGGTGTATCTGTATAGTGACGCCACCACGTCTAAGATCGCCCGCACTGTCACGCAGAAGCTGGGCTTCTCTAAAGGTGAGTGGACAGAGTGTACACACAGTAATCAACCTGCTGTTCAATCCCAGCTGTATTTTTAGGCACTTTTGTTATATTCCTTTTAAAAAAACTCTCCAAACACGCAGGACTTGTATAGACAGACTTGTATTAAAAAAAAAGCATCAGCTTTTCTGATAATATGATGGCAGTGTTATTTTAGTATCATTGTGATACTTTTAAACTTTTTATGAATATTTAAAAAAAAATTACATTTAAAATTAAACATTTAATTTTAAATTAAAATGTAAAATATATATGATCATTTTAGTCAATGTTATTTTATTTTTGTGTGTATTTTTGTTTTTTCAAAAATATGTCTTTATAAGTTTTATTAATTTTCAAGTCATTTTATTTTAGTTATTTTATATTAATAAAAAAGGGGAAACACTTTAGTTTAGGGACCAATTCTCACTATTAACTAGTTGCTTATTAGCATGCATATTACTAGCATAGTGGCTGTTTATTACTACTTATAAAGCACATATTCATGTATTATTCTGCATGACCATATTTTAGATCCCTTAATCCTAAACCCCATGCCGAAACTTAACAACTACCTTACCAACTATTAAAAAGCAGCAAATTAGGAGGCAAAAGTTGTAGATAATGGTTAGTTAATAGTGAGAATTGGTCCCCAAACTAAAGTGTGAACAAAAAAGTAATATTAAGTTTTATATTTATTTTATTTATTTTTTAATGTTTATGTTTATGGTTTAAGTTGACTATAATATCCCTGTTAATATTTTACAATGAGGTCCTATTAGTTAACATTAGCAATGCATTAACTAACAATAAGTAAAACTTTTGTTACAATATTTATGTTTGTTAGCGTACAACATTTGATTTGAGCAATATATTAGTAAATGCAAGATTTGGTTTTTAAAAAGCCTTTTTCCAAAAGGTACATCTGGAAAAAGGGGGGTCGTCTTATAATCAGGGTCGTCTTATATTCGGGCCAATACGGTAATTAACATTAACTAAGATTTATAAATGCTTTGAAATATTTTTATTGGTTGTTCATGTTAACCAGGGCTGTACGTTAACTTTTTTTTCACATAGCACTGGTGCTACAGAGATTGAAAGTTTTGTAGCACAGGCCAAAAAGTTGTAGCACAAGTATAAAATGTCTGTTATCATGTCTGAAAACAAACACATGGAGTTCATCACTTAAACAGGCACTGATGTTCCACACAGAGCACAAAAAATACAAACCATCAGGAAAATTGTTTTTAGACAACGTTTTCTTAATTTGCTGTATGAACATGCAAAACTGTATCGCACGCGTGCTACAGTGGTAAATTTATTCATCGCACAGACCAGTTTTTTCGTAGCACGTGCGACATATATGTCGCACTGTACAGCCCTGATGTTAACTAATGTTAACAAATAGAATCTTATTGTAAAGTGTTACTATGACCATGTATGATGCAAATAGCCAAGGTAGGATATTTTAAGGTATTTTTTGTGTCCGCAATATTTTTATAATGTTTTAATCTTTTCATAAAAAGCAGTAGAGGTACAAGAGCCCATGTTATAATGTGAATATAGTCACAGATGCAGAGGCTGCATAAACGCTATTTATGTGTGACTGTATGAATAAAACAGCACAGCTCTCATAACGTGTGTGGTGTGGTTGTGCTCAGCCTCCAGCAGTGGCACCAGACTGCACCGCGGCTTTGTGGAAGAGGCCTCGCTGGACGATAAACCCCCTCAGACCACACACATTGTGTTTGTGGTCCATGGCATTGGACAGAAGATGGACAAGGATCGTATCATCAAAAACACTGGCATGTAAGTCCTCAGGAGAGCTGTTAGTGATAATGAAGTCCTCAATGATATGCAGTGGTGAACAGCTATAGTGTATAAAATAGGAAAATATTTGGATGAATGTGTTCATGTAAACACGTTCAGAGCTCCTGGTTTGCATTTTCTCACAAAATGTGTGTTTCTCATGTTTATCACTTAATAAGAGTCAACACCTTGATACTGCTTTGACCAGTATATTATAAATAGTTACAGCTCCAACATTCACTTATGAATTAATTTAAATTTCAGGATGCTTTCAAGCTGATTTTCCCAGTGGGACAGGCGCTGACGAGAAATAGGTTTACCCCTATGAGAATCAGCCCATGAAACAAATAACTGATTACTAGTGGTCGACCGATATATCGCCAAGGCCAATACATCGCCCGATATTTGGCATTTTTAAAATATCTGCATCGGCTGATAAGTTTTTCTGGTTGGCCGATGTGTTCAAGGCGGTACTTTTATTTTAACGGCGCTGAGTGAACGCCAGCGCCTGAACACAGTGGTCACATTCTCCCTCTTGTAGCGAATAAGAGGGAGAATGTGAACAGTGTCGTCGTTCAGTTCTGTCTAATATGAATTGAAGTCTATCTAATAATCAGATAGAACTGTTAAACAAAGGAATTAAAATGTATACAAAAAGTATTATAACGATTGCTTTAATATTATTAGTAATAGAAAGGCAAACATTATACTACTTTCTCATTTGCCATCAGCATATTTATATACGCATTTATATCATTTAAACAAATCTTTGAATGACTAATGAACATTTAATTTCACAAACCTTGCAGACTTAGTCGAATCTAGTTGAAGTGTGCATTTGTATCCTGCATGATCGCGTGTTCTCTGGGTGACGGTCAGTCTGTGCAAATTGAATGCTGATAGGAGGAGAGTTCTGCTTGACTGGAAACACGCGATCGGCAAACTTTAAACTAGTGATTTCAAATTATGCTGCGCTTTATGCATTTGCCCGCTGTCATATTCATCTCATTATTTATTTATTTGTGAAAATAGTATGTTTATTTTACACAATTATTTTTAATCCATTTTCAAATGATTTAAAATTTCTTAAATATAAATTAAAATAAATAAAATTATATCGGCCATCGGCCACCCTGCTTTCCAAGATATCGGCATCGGCATCGGCTGTCAAAAAACCAATATCGGTTGACCACTACTGATTACTCTTCCGCAGCGCTTTCGTTCTGTTTACATAGTAACACAATGCACGGACAGGGCACAAACAGTGAAGCCACTCTTCTTCTGGTGACGAAAAGGGTGGTGGATGAAAAGCCAATAAATCCACTTGATTACAGGCTAGAGCTGACTCGCTCACCTTAGGCACGAACGCTGTATTAGTTTTGAGAGACACTCTGGAGTAATCCATAGTGAACTGCATACAGGAGTTATGAACTGACAAAGCATGAAGTTCACTAACCCGCTTTGCAGATGAAAGAGCCAGTAATAATGCAGTCTTTACCAAAAGGAGCTTCAGATCGCTGCTGTCTATAGGTTCAAAAGGTGTACGAGATACTGTGTACTGTGCGTTAAGTACTACAGACAGATCCCACGGCGGAATCAGTGGTTTTGACACCCTGTTCAAATGCCACGCACCGCTCATAAACCTGCATACAAGCGGGTGTCGACCCATAGTGTTATTTGTCAATCCCCACATGACACGCACAAATCGCCGCATGATACACCTTAATGGCAGAAAAAGCTCTGCCTTTATCCAAAAGTTCTTGCAGAAAACAACACATCTGCGACAGAACAGAGAAACAGAACAATGTGCTTATGCGCGCACCATTGCTCGAAAACATTCCATTTCCTATCGTAGGCAGAGCGCGTCGAGGCAGCCCTCGCATTCTGAATTGTCTCGATCACCCTTGGAGGCAAACCAGTAGCATTTAAGTTTAACCTCTCACGGACCAAGCCCAAAGAGCAACTTTGTCCGGGGCGGGGTGAAAAATCTCCCCGCGCGCTTGTGAGAGGAGGTCTCTGCGCAGCATAGGAGCTGCGCATAGGAGTTGCATTATCTCTGTCAGCCACAATTTCCCCGGCCAGTTCGGGGCAATCAATATGACTGAGTGACCGCACTCCCTTACTCTTCTTAGAGTTGGTATGATCAGACTTAGCGGAGGAAACGCGTAAAGCAGTACATTTGGCCACGGGTGCACTAAGGCATCCACACCCATAGGTGCACCGTCTCTTGCTAGCAAGAAGAACAGAGGGCAGTGAGTGTTTTATGCGATGCGAAGAGATCTACGGCAACGCGGCCGAATCTCTTTTACAACTGGCCCACTACCTGAGGGAGGTGTGTCCATTCTCCGTGCCAAGGATTCCCCCTGGACAGGAGATCCGCCCCCCGCATTCATTATTCCTGGTACGTGCGTTGCCCGTAATGAATGATAAAGAGAAAAAGTGTTTCCTGCCCCACACAATCAGTTTCTGTGCCAGACTGTGAAGCTAAAGGAGAGTGTGTGCCCCCTTGGCGATTTATATAAGCTACCGTGGTCATATTGTCTGATCTGATCAAAACGTGGTGGTTCCGCAGAAACTGCACAAAATGTTTCAAAGCTAGAAACACTGTTAACAGTTCTAGATAATTTATGTGCGCGCTCTGCAGCGAGACGGGCAATTTCCCTTTCACTATTCTGCCCTCACACACTGCACCCCAACCTCAAAGTGACAGTCCGTCGTTACCACCTTCCTCATGGAAACTGCACCCAGCGGATTCCCTGATTCGAGGAACAAGCGGTTTCTCCAATGGCGGAGAGCACGCATGCAAAGTGGTGACACCATCACTCTGTGGTTGAGGTGGCGTTTTGGACATAAGTGTTGTGCCGCTGTCCAATTCTGAAACTCCCTCATTCGCAACAGTCCCAAAGGAATAACCAAGACTGTCGAGGCCATCAGCCCCAGAAGGCGTAAACACAGTCTGAATGGTACTTTGTTCCCTTCTTGAAACAGGGACAGACAGCTGCGACCTGATGCGCTCCTCTTACAGAAATGCTTGATACCGATCTGAGTTCAGTCTCCTGATGAATCTGTGTGAATCTCCTCCACATCTCCTGTGTGGGCACCAGGCAGCTTTTTGTCTCGTTTATCTTGAAACCTAAGCTCTCCAAATGAGACACAAGCATGTGTCTGTGTCTGCCTCCGCTTGCTGCCATGACGGAGCGCAGAGGAGAAGATCGTCCAAATAAGATGACACTCTGAGACCCGCTGTTCTCAGCGGTGATAGAGCCGCTTCTATACATTTGCTGAACGTTCTTGGAGCTAATGAGAGCCCGAACGGAACAGTCATAAACTTGTTGGCTGTGCCCTGATAGGCAAACCTGAGGAATTTCCTGTGTGCCGGGTAGATGTGTATATGGAAATATGCATCTTCCAGATCGACTGAGGTGAACCAGTCTTTCTCGCGAATAAAATGTGACCGTGCTTTGAATGTGGGCATTTTGAACTTGTATTTTCTGAGGTGTTTGTTCAGGTTCTGCAAATCCAGAATGGGACGGAGACCTCCCCCTCTCTTGGGAATTACAAAGTACCGGGAGTAAAAGCCTTGCTGGCTGTCCTCCGGCGGTACAACTCGAATTGCTCTTTTCCATATTAAAGAGGCTATTTCTTCCTCTAAAACTTGAGCTGACTCCCCTTCTGCGGCTGATATCAACACACTGTTGAAAACTGGTGGTTTTACAGAAAACTGCAGACGATAACCCCTCAGTATCGTAGATAAAACCCAGGGGTGTACTGCGCATGCGCGCCAGCTCTCTGCGTGAGCAGCGAGCGGACCGCAGCGGCTCTCGTCCACTAATGGCGCGGTCGCACCATCCTGCGGGGGAGCTGGGGATTGCAGCTCTGAATTGAGTAAGTTTGGTTTTGTTTGTGTTTTTATTTTCAAACCTTGCTGTGCCCTCGGCCCACTGCCTGGATGCACAGGGAATTTGTTTATTTTCACACCACACATATTTCCTTGTGAACAGCGCTCTGCCCTTTCTGGCAACTCCGTGGGTGGAGAACTTCTTTGTGGGGCACTGGGGGAACTGGTGTGAACTCCACACCTGAACTGGTCAAAAGAGAACTTTTTGACATTTCCTTGAACGATTCCCAAGTCCAACGCCTTCTCTTGGCGGGAGGGGGAGAAAATAACCACTCTTTTTGAGGGAGGATAACAACAGATACTCCAAGAGTGCTGTTGCTCGTCCCCTCATCCAGAACATGAGGACGGGTTAGGTTGCTTGGTGTTTCTTCCCTCTCTGAGGGTTTGCCGGTCTGTGTCTAGCTGCTGCTGCTGCAAAGGAAGGTTTCCCCCTTGGCTTTGCTGGCTAAGGCCGTGCCTCAGTCTGTTGAGGCTGAGGAGGTCTGGGGCTCCTGAAAACAGACTGACCACTTCTGAGAGGGGCATCAAAACCAGGGCGTGCTAATGGAGAAGCCATTAGCCGAATGGGTTTTCGGGGGAGGCAAGCTTTGAAAGCCTCACCCTCCTGCTTCCTCAGATCACACCGCTGGCGCATAGCAGTGACTGATGCTCCGAAAAGGGCTTTGGGCTCAACCAGGGCATCCAGGAAATCAGCTTTCTCTCTGTCAGATAGTCCTGAAAGTCCCAGCCAGAGAGCTCGCTCGCCAACCACTGCCAAGCCCATGCTGCGGCCGCAGCTCTGGACTGCGCCCCTGGAGGTTCTCAGGTTGAGATCTGCAATAACGCAGATCTCTTCCCAGAGAGCTGGGTTTGGTGACCCAGCATCCATTTGTCTCCTCATCTCCTCCATGAGCTCTACTTGATAAGCAGTGAGGCGAGAGGTAGCATTCAGAGCCCTCACTGCCAGAGCAGAGGAACGATAGATCTTCTGAAAAACTGAGGTTGTTAAGTGCTCAGTACGTCCTGGCAGTGAAGCTGAGGCAGAAGAAAAGCTGCTCTGCGATTAGGGTTAAGATGATGAGCCACTGACAGCTCAACAGGAGGTCGACGGCAGTTGCTTGCCATCATATAGGTCTCTCTCCGTTCCCTGGCCCGCCTGCTGCGACGGCCATTCAATAAAAATTTTATTGACCCTCACCCTCCTGCACATTTCGAGCAGATCGAGCTCCACTTGAACCGAGGCCGGGGACCCTTCGCTTAACGCGCTTCCTGGACAGGAGGACATCGTTGGTAGGATCGTGTCGTCATCATCCTCCTCTCCATCCTCCTCCAACAGACGAGTGATCACTTCGTCATCATCCTCCTCCTCCTCTCTTCCCTCTGACAAGATCGGGAAAAGAGGAGGAAGCTCGGGGGAGACTTCATCCATAAACTCGCCCCAGCTGCATGACACAGGTGGCTCTTTGGTCAACGTGGTCGACGGAGAAAGGGAGGGGTCTCCTTTATTAGCGGCCGCCACCCGCACTCTTCTCTCCAGAACCCTTGACGGGAGAAGGGAACAGTGCGGACAGCACTCGGGGTTCACGAGTGCTGCTTGAGCATGTCTCACCCCCAGGCATACAATACACTGGGGATGAGAATCCCTGCCTGAAATACTTGCTCCGCATGCACAAGGACGCGAGGCATCTTTGTATGATATAAAGATCAGTGATATATATGAGGGAGGCGGGACTCCCGCATCACTGTCGTGATTGGTCTGTCAACAGACAGACGTGGTGTAATCGGTGCTTCCAGGATTGGTAACGCCTGAGGCGATTCCCATAGTGAGATACCGAACGAATGTTTGAAAAATAACCTTCCTTAAAAAAAAAAAAAAAAAACAGAAATGTTTTTATTGTTTGTTTACTATTATAGCATTTATTAATATTTCAAATTAGCTTTTATTTTATATTTTCATATTTTTTATGTTTTCATTTTGGTTTTAGTAATTGTGTTTTTAGAATTTGTAATTTGTTTTGCTCTTTATTATTCGTAAAAACGAACAAACGAACACAATGTTCAAACAGTACAGAAGACATTTCTAAGAAATTGAACAAAATACAAAAAAAGATAACTTTTTTTATTTAAAAAAATATTAGTCTTTTATTGGCATTTTTATTTGTCTTTGTTTTAATATTTCTACTATTTCTATAATCTTTCTTTAAATTTTAGCATTTCAACTACAACTTTATCACTTTGTTTCCAACTATTTTAATAGTTTTAGTTGTAGTTAACAATAATTATTTTTGAATACTTATTCATTACACCAAATACACAAAATAATGTTCTTTTTAGCAGCATCATATGACCCCTTTAAAGTGTGCACGTTTTGAAGGGTAATGTGATTTTCTGTATGTAACCTTGTGTTTGGTGTGTTCAGGCTGCGGGAAGCTGTGAGGAAGATGGAGGAGAAGCACTTCGCTGAGCAAACAGAGGAACATGTGGAGTTCCTGCCGGTCGAGTGGCGCTCTAAACTGGCTTTGGACGGCGGTAAGACAGACGCCACACCACACCACGTGTCTGTCTGCATTCACCCTCTGAACAGCTGCTGTTATCACACACTCTGTGCTTTTACCTTTTGTTCAAAAGCACACACATGCTGTTTTAGTGGAGAGCAGAAGAATGGCAGGAGAATATAATACAGGCCATAAACTCATTTATCATCTTTCATCCCTCCATCAGCTGTGCAACCGAAACAGCTCAAACAATGACGGACATTAACATTAATAACGAAATGATGACTGAAAAAATACATGAGCCTTTGTATGCATATTTTGAGAGCGTTGTCCTCTTCAAATGCAGACACAGTGGAGTCAATCACACCAGATAAAGTGAGAGGCCTGAGAGATTTACTCAACAGCAGCGCCATGGACATCATGTACTACACCAGCCCTCTCTACAGAGACGAGGTGACCCACATTCATGATGAATAGTTATATTTTCTCACCCTCGCGTCATTCCAAACTTGTACTGAAATTCAGAATAATGTTCATGCTGTTCTTTTCCACACAATTAAAGCATATACACTAGTAACGAGTGGCTGTCAAGCACTAATACGTTGATCACATAAAGCTATGAAACTTTTAAGGTGCATTTTTGTGGTATTTTTTGGAGCTCGACAGTCTCTAGTTACTATATACTTTTATTGTACGGAAAAGAGCTGCGTCAGCAAACCATCTCCTTTTGTGTTTCACTAAAGAAAGTAAGTCACATTAGTTTGGAATGAGATGAATGTGATTATTTATTACAGAACGTTCATTTGGGGGTGAGTTAAACTAGCGTTCAGACGTTTGGGGTTAGACAGTTTTTAATGTTTTTGAAAGAAGTATCTTCTGCTTACCAAGGCTGCATTCATTTGATCAAAAATACAATAAAAACAGTCATATTGTGGAATATTATTACAATTTAAAACAGCTGTTTTCTATGTGAATGTATTGTAAAATGTAATTTATTTCTGTGATGTGCAGCTGTATTTTCAGCATCATTACTCCAGTCTTCAGTGTCACATGATCTTCAGAAATCATTCTAATATGCTGATTTGCTGCTCAAGAAACATTTCTGATTATTATCAATGTTGAAAACAGTCGTGCTGCCCAATATTTTTTTTTGTGGAAATAGTGATACATTTTATTTTTCAGGATTCACAAATGAATAGAAAGTTCAAAAGAACAGCACTATTTTGACATATAAATCTTTTGAAACATTATAAAAGTCTTTACTGTCACTTTTGATCAATTTAATGCATCTTTGATGAAAGAAAGCATTAATTAATTACTTAAAAAAATCTTACTGACCCCAAACATTTGAACAGTACTATATATCTTCCTATATAGCTGACGTATAAAGTATTTTGTTTATATATGCTCTAATGTTCATCCTTCCAGATCACTAACGGTTTGACGCAGGAGCTCAACCGCCTCTATTCTCTCTTCTGCTCACGAAACCCCGAGTTTGAGAGCAGAGGCGGCAAAGTGTCCATCATCTCCCACTCGCTGGGCTGCGTGATCACCTTTGATATCATGACAGGCTGGGATCCTGTGCGCTTCTGTCTGCAAGAACATCGGGATCAGCTGGAGGGTGAAGATTTGCACTGGACCACTCATGAAGAGCGCCACCTGCTGGAGGAAGTGCAACTAACCAGACAGAGGTAAGTAACTGCGTAGTAATGCGGTGAGTTTTGCATTAAACAAGCACCACTCATTCTTCATGAAAATATAAATCTTATATCTTGCAATTAATCTGTATCTGTGACAGGTTACGAGAACTGCAAGATCAACTTCAGGGCCTGAAGGCAGCAAAACCTACACCCTTTCCTACATTAACATTTAAGGTGATGTAGTGACATTAAAGGAATATTTCACCCAAAAAAGCTGAAAATGTGCTCATTCTCAGGCCATTCAAAATGTAGATGAGTTTGTTTCTTCATCAGGTTTGGAGAAATGTAGCATTCCATCACTTGCTCACCAATAGATCCTCTGTAGTGAATGGGTGCCGTCAGAATAAGAGTCCAAACAGCTGATAAAAACATCACAATAATCCACAAGTAATCCACAGCACTCCAGTCCATCAGTTAACATCTGGAGAAGACAAAAGCGGCATGTTTATGAGTCCATTAGTCCATCAGTTAACATCTGGAGAAGACAAAAGCGGCATGTTTATGAGTCCATAATATTGCTCTCTCCAGTGAAAAAAGTGGTCTGGTCTGAATCAGGAGAGAAATCTGCACAGATCAAGCACTGTTTACAAACTAAAACAAAACAGCTCTAAACAAATTTGTGGGTGGGTTTTGATGTGAGAGACAACAGGAGATGGACTTTTCCAATGGAGGAAGCGTTATTATGGATTATGGACTCGAAGGATTTGTTTCGTACAAATGCAGCTTTTGTCTTGTCCAGATGTTAACTGATGGACTGGAGTGCTGTGGATTACTTGTGGATTATTGTGATGTTTTTATCAGCTGTTTGGACTCTCATTCTGACGGCACCCATTCACTGCAGAGTATCCATTGCTGAGACACTGATGCAATGCTACATTTCTACAAATCTGATGAAGAACAAACTCATCCTAATCTTGTATGACCTGAGGGTGAACACATTTTCAGCAAAGTTTTATTAACTTGGTTTTCTGCTCTCTCATACAAATAGCACATCTGTACAGTATCTCTACAGTATATGATAAAGCCCATTAAATAATTTGCAGGTGGAGAACTTCTTCTGCATGGGTTCTCCTCTGGCTGTGTTTCTGGCTTTGAGAGGCATCCGGCCCGGAAACACCGGTGACCAGGACCACATCATGCCCAAATCCATCTGCCGGCGCCTCTTCAACATCTTCCACCCAACAGATCCTGTGGTAAGACCACGTCACTGCATCTCAGTCTGTCAACTTGCAGTGCAAGGGATTCATTTAGCTTTTTTTGTCATATATTTCATTGTCTGACAGGCCTATCGACTGGAGCCTCTTGTTTTAAAGCACTATAGCAATATTGCACCTGTCCAAATACACTGGTGAGTCTTGATATCTTATTATTTGGGGAGAGTTTATACAGTCCTAATCAGGAACATTGATTTACATGCTTATGAAATGTAACATTATATTTTATATTTTCCATTTGACCTTCATTTTTCAGTATCTTAATTATTTTTGTCCTATTTGTAGTAGTGTTTAAAGCAGTGGTTCTCAGCCTTTTTGACACAAAGGCCCCCTGTTGTCCAATATTTGAGCCCCCGATCATATAAGCTAAAATATTTTCGGATGAACTTTTTGTTACGTTTTTTTTTTTTATTATTATTATTAACAGAAACTGAGAGTGTTGATGTATTAAACTAATTAGCCATAGTTAATTTTATGATTCCAGAAGTTTCAAGAACTGTATGTGCTTTAATAAACAAATAGTTATTGAGGTAGAAACGAGTTTACATGTTGATTTTATGTGTTCTTACTAGTGCTGTCAAACAATTAATCACAATTAATCGCATCCAAAATAAAAGTTTTTGTTTACATAATATATGTCTGTGTACTGTGTATATTTATTATGTATATATAAATACACACACATGCATGCATTTATTTAAGAAAAATGTTGTTTATACATTTAAAAATGTATATATAATATCAATTATATGAATATAAATAAATACATGGAAATATTTTCAAAATATATACTGTATTTATATATACATAATAAATGTATAAATACTGTATTTATATATACATAATAAATATACACGGTATACACACATATATTATGTAAACAAAAACTTATATTTTGGATGCGATTAATCGTTTGACAGCACTAGCTCTTAGTATTTTAATTATATTTGTTATTTTATTTCATGTTATGTTTTAATTAATTTATAGTTACAAACCCACACACTACCTGTCAAAAGTTTAGAATAATTATGATTTTTTTTTTAATGTTTTGAAAGAAGTCCCTTTTGATCTCTTATGATTCTTCAGGAATCATTCTAATATGCTGATTTGCTGCTCAAGAAACACTTCTGATTATCAAAGTTGAAAACAATGGTTCTTGTCTGGTCTTCTCACAAAAATATTGTGACGAGAGGGGCAGGGCCGAGAGCCGTGGGAACGGAGCGAGGCCGGTGGAGTAATTGATAATGAGCGTCCGCGAGGGCCATGATGGAGAAGTCCAGGCCTGGTCCTCTCTCGTCTTTCACTGTCGTCACTCTTCCTTTTATCCTTCCGGAGCTCCTCCGTGGGACTCGAGACCGGTGAGTGGCGCAGGTGTCGTGCATTAGCATTTACTCCACCGGCCTCGCTCCGTTCCCACGGCTCTCGGCCCCGCCCCCACTCGTCACAAATATATAGCAGCAAAAACTGCTATAACACTAATAATAAGAACCATTATTAATAACAACTGGGCACCAATAATAACTGGTGATTTTGCTGTGGGCTCCAGAGCCCTGGTTGAGAATCACTGGTTTAAAGTTTAAATTGGCCAGAACGTTAGGCTTCTCTGTTATGATTCTGGATTTGTGTTTTGATGTATTGTTTTGAAGGTGTAACACCATCAGCCCCACCCCGTATGATGAGATCAGACCCAGCCATCTAAGTGTGAGCAAGAACGCAGCGAGCGACACGGAGAACGGCTCCAGTCCCAGCAGCTCACCTGTGCTGGTCACGAGACACTACGGAGAGTCCATCACCAGCCTGGGCAAGGCCAGCATACTGGGTACAGCTGACTACATACTGAATTAAACTACTATGAAATAGGAGTGTGCGATATATATCGTCTGCGATAATACCGTAATTGTTGTTTTAACGATGTATGATTTGACATTATCGAGTATTTTGCAAAAACCATTCAAAACACCCCTACAGAGTGCACGCATACATTACGTGAAGTCTAGACTAGTGCGAGTGCGTTCTTTCACTGCATGATTCAGTCTAATAAAATGCATTTAGATTGATCACAAAATTCAAGATATGGGGACAGAAAATGTATGTATTTATATAATTTCATATAGTTAGTAATGTTTTTTTTCTCTCCAAAAATTACCATGATTACAAATGTAATACTGATTATTTACAACAGTTCAAACAACAAGAAGTTAATTAAGAGACTTAGACACCATTTTTTTGCTCAATTTCGACAACAAAAATAATTCCAAACACAGCCACAGCACTGTTTTGCGTCTCTGAGCAACATGACGGTGTTTGGTTCCTGAATGAATCAACCGTTTAAATGATTCGGTTCAATCGCAATGACTCACTTATTAACAGTGACTTGCTGCCACCTGCTGGTGGTTTTAATTTCACATTTAACGTTTCTTTTTATTATTTAAATAATTTCAAATAACAGTAT